GGGAATCGGAATTTATTGACTCACAACGTGTTTGGGCTGAATATGCATTGAAAAGACAAGAAGCAAATGCCCAGAACAGGCGTTTGACACTCGAAGATTTAGAAGATTCGTGGGATAGAGGTTTACCACGTATTAATACTCTTTTTTCAAAAGATCGTCATACCTTAGCGTATGATAAAGGTTGGAGGGTTAGAACTGAATTCAAAAGTTATCAAATATTAAAGAACAATCCATTTTGGTGGACACATTCTAGACATGATGGTAAATTATGGTGCTTAAACAATTATCGATCTGATATGATTCAAGCTTTAGGTGGTGTTGAAGGAATATTAGAGCACACACTTTTTAAAGGTACATACTTTTCCACATGGGAAGGTCTCTTCTGGGAAAAAGCTTCTGGATTCGAAGAAAGTATGCGATACAAAAAATTGACAAATGCTCAAAGATCCGGTCTCAACCAAATTCCTAATCGTCGATTTACATTATGGTGGTCTCCTACAATTAATCGAGCTAACGTGTATGTTGGTTTTCAAGTCCAATTAGATCTTACAGGTATATTTATGCACGGAAAAATACCAACACTAAAAATATCATTGATCCAAATTTTCCGAGCTCATTTATGGCAAAAAATACATGAGAGTGTTATTATGGATTTATGTCAAGTTTTTGATTCTGAACTTGAGAGCTTGCAAATTGAGACAGTACAAAAAGAATCCATTCATCCTAGAAAATCTTACAAAATGAATTCCTCATGTGCCGACATTTTATTATTTGCTTCTTACAAATGGAACGTCTCAAAACCTTCTCTATTAAATGATAATAAAGATGTAATGGATGGCACAACAACATCACGATGGTTTGTTGATTGCCAATTAAGATGGGGAGATTTCGACTCTCATGACATAGAGAGATATACTAGAGCCAAATTCTTAGATTATTCCACAGATAATATGAGTATTTATCCTTCACCTTTTGGTATAATGATAGGAATTGATCTTGCGTATAATTTACATAGTGCTTATGGTCACTGGATTCCTGGAATGAAACCATTAATTCAATCAGCAATGGCGAAAATAATGAAAGCCAATCCAGCTTTATACGTTTTACGGGAACGTATACGAAAAGGTTTACAATTATATAGTGCAGAACCTACTGAACCATATTTATCATCACAGAATTATTCAGAATTATTTTCAAATCAAATTATTTGGTTTGTAGATGATACAAACGTATATCGTGTAACTATTCATAAAACTTTTGAAGGTAACTTGACAACTAAACCGATTAATGGAGCTATTTTCATTTTCAATCCAAGAACGGGACAATTATTCTTAAAGATTATTCATACTTCTGTGTGGGCTGGACAAAAACGTTTGGGACAATTGGCAAAATGGAAAACCGCCGAAGAAGTGGCAGCTTTGATTCGTTCATTGCCAATCGAAGAACAACCTAAACAAATTATTGTTACTCGAAAGGGAATGTTGGATCCTTTAGAAGTGCATTTATTAGATTTCCCTAACATTGTCATTAAAGGAAGTGAATTACAATTACCATTCCAAGCTTGTTTGAAATTAGAAAAGTTTGGCGACTTAATTCTTAGAGCAACGGAACCTCAAATGACATTGTTCAATTTATATGATGATTGGCTCAAAACAATTTCATCATAT